CTGCCATACTCACCAGAAGACCAGGCACACTCAATGAAAGACCTGGCACACTCAATGGAAGACCTGACACACTCAACAGAAGACCTGACACACTCATTAGAAGACCAGGCACACTCATTAGAAGACCAGGCACACTCAATGGAAGACCTGGCACACTCAATGGAAGACCTGGCACACTCAATGGAAGACCTGGCATACTCAATGGAAGACCTGACACACTCATTAGAAGACCAGGCACACTCAATGAAAGACCTGGCACACTCAATTGAAGACCTGACACACTCATTAGAAGACCAGGCACACTCAATGGAAGACCTGACACACTCATTAGAAGACCAGGCACACTCATTAGAAGACCAGGCACACTCAATGGAAGACCTGGCACACTCAAAGGAAGACCTGACACACTCAATGGAAGACCTGGCACACTCAATGGAAGACCTGGCACACTCAATAGAAGACCTGGCACACTCAATAGAAGACCTGGCACACTCAACCGAAGACCTGGCACACTCAACCAAAGACTTGGCACACTAAGTAAAAGACTCGCTACACTCAACGAAAGACCTGAAATACACTCCGTGGATGACTTGGCACACTAAGGGGATACCTGGTACACTCAGAATATATATAATATCTATCAGATTCAGTAGAAGGCCATGTGCACTAAGGAAAGGACCTGCCACACTCAACTAAAGACCTTGCACACTCAACAAACGACCTGGCACACTCAACAAAAGACTTGGCACACTAAGTAAAAGACTCGCCACACTCAATGAAAGACCTGAAACACACTCAGTGCATGACTTGGCACACTAAGGGGACACCTGGTACACTCAGAATATCTATCAGATTCAGTAGAAGGCCATGTGCACTAAGGAAAGAACCTGCCACACTCAACAGAAGACCTGGCACACTCAATAGAAGACCTGGCACACTCAACAGAAGACCTGGCACACTCACCAGAAGACCTGGCACACTCAACAGAAGACCTGGCACACTCAATAGAAGACCTGGCACACTCAACAGAAGACCTGGCACACTCAACAGAAGACCTGGCACACTCAATAGAAGACCTGGCACACTCAATAGAAGACCTGGCACACTCAATAGAAGACTTGACACACTCAACAGAAGACCTGGCACACTCAATAGAAGACCTGGCACACTCAATAGAAGACTTGACACACTCAACAGAAGACCTGGCACACTCAATAGAAGACCTGGCACACTCAATAGAAGACTTGACACACTCAACAGAAGACCTGGCACACTCAATAGAAGACCTGGCACACTCAATAGAAGACTTGACACACTCAACAGAAGGCCTGGCACACTCAGGGAAAAACCTGGCACACAATGGAAGAACAAACACTCAGTAGGAAACCACTCATTGAAAGACTTGGTGCACTTAGTAAAAGGCCTGGCACACTCATTAGAAGATCAGGCACACTCAGTAGAGAAACAAGCACACATATGGGAAGGCTTGGCACACTTACTAAAAGACCTGGCACACTCATTGAAAAACCTGGCACACCTATTAGAAGACCTGGGACACCCAACAGATGATTAGGCATTCTCATCGGAAGGCTTGGGACACTTAGTAAAAGATCCGGCACATTTAGTAGAAGACCGGCATACTCATCAGGGACAGGGTTTGTGAAGCAGCATTTTTTTTTTTCTGCTTCAACTTTCATTCCTCACTGGATAAGTCATATTTCATGCCTGAACCCTAATATCCTGAATACCAGCATGACTTCACACCTCGTCTTGGGGCGGTACCATTAAGTCTAGACGGGTTACAATTAGAGATGAGCGAATCGAACTTGGCGAAGTGGAATTCGTTTCGAAGATTAGGAAATATTCGATTCGCGCCGAATCCGAAAATTAGCAAACTTCGGATGCACGAATCGAATTTTCCCAAAAATGGCGGCGAAATGTGTGGCGATGGAGCGGGGATCTCTGGGAAGGCGCGCAGACAAGGCGCGCTGACCCATAATGCATTCATTCATGACATGTGATCGCATTAGCCAATCAGCAGCCAGCCAGCACTGTGTAATGGTGGAGCTATAAATCGCGGCCATCTTAGAATTCTCCATTAGCCTCCAGTCATTCAAGAGAGACAGACCTGGCTGTATTAGGGACAGAGTTAGGGCCTCAGAGACTTTAGGGCCACAGAATCGTTACTTAGGGACACAGAATCGTTACTCAGGGACACAGAATTGTTACTCAGGGACACAGAATTGTTACTCAGGGACACAGAATCGTTACTCAGGGACAGACACAGAATTGTTACTCAGGGACACAGAATTTTTACTGAGGGACACAGAATCGTTACTCAGGGACACAGAATTGTTACTCAGGGACACAGAATCGTTACTCAGGGACACAGAATTGTTACTCAGGGACACAGAATTGTTACTCAGGGACAGACACAGAATTGTTACTCAGGGACAGACACAGAATTGTTACTCAGGGACACAGAATTGTTACTCAGGGACAGAATTTTTACTGAGGGACACAGAATTGTTACTCAGGGACACAGAATTGTTACTCAGGGACACAGAATCGTTACTCAGGGACACAGAATTGTTACTCAGGGACACAGAATTGTTACTCAGGGACAGACACAGAATTGTTACTCAGGGACAGACACAGAATTGTTACTCAGGGACACAGAATTGTTACTGAGGGACACAGAATCGTTACTCAGGGACACAGAATTGTTACTCAGGGACACAGAATTGTTACTCAGGGACAGACACAGAATTGTTACTCAGGGACACAGAATTGTTACTCAGGGACACAGAATTGTTACTGAGGGACACAGAATCGTTACTCAGGGACACAGAATTGTTACTCAGGGACACAGAATTGTTACTCAGGGACAGACACAGAATTGTTACTCAGGGACACAGAATCGTTACTCAGGGACACAGAATTGTTACTCAGGGACAGACACAGAATTGTTACTCAGGGACACAGAATCGTTACTCAGGGACACAGAATCGTTACTCAGGGACACAGAATTGTTACTGAGGGACACAGAATTGTTACTCAGGGACACAGAATTGTTACTCAGGGACACAGAATCGTTACTGAGGGACACAGAATCGTTACTGAGGGACACAGAATCGTTACTCAGGGACACAGAATTGTTACTCAGGGACACAGAATTGTTACTCAGGGACACAGAATTGTTACTGAGGGACACAGAATTGTTACTGAGGGACACAGAATCGTTACTCAGGGACACTGTCATGGGCCCCTGTACCGCCTCCTCATGCTGCTGCCAGGTCCAGAGTGTGTCATGGGTCCCTGTACGGCCTCCCATTGCTGCTGTCTCCATCGCCACACTCTGCCATGTGCCACTTTCAGGTCTCCTCACACTGCTGGTGGGTTCCATTTTGTCATAGGGTGCTGTATGGCCTCCCATTGCTGCTGCCAGGCCCGTAATCTGCCATGGGCTCCCGTACCGACTCCTCATGCTGCTGCCAGGCCCGTAATCTGTCATGGGCCCCTGTACCGCCTCCTCATGCTGCTGCCAGGTCCAGAGTGTGTCATGGGTCCCTGTACGGCCTCCCATTGCTGCTGTCTCCATCGCCACACTCTGCCATGTGCCACTTTCAGGTCTCCTCACACTGCTGGTGGGTTCCATTTTGTCATAGAGTGCTGGCAGATTACGGGCCTCCCATTGCTGCTGCCAGGCCCGTAATCTGCCATGGGCCCCCGTACCGACTCCTCATGCTGCTGCCAGGCCCGTAATCTGTCATGGGCCCCTGTACCGCCTCCTCATGCTGCTGCCAGGTCCAGAGTGTGTCATGGGTCCCTGTACGGCCTCCCATTGCTGCTGTCTCCATCGCCACACTCTGCCATGTGCCACTTTCAGGTCTCCTCACACTGCTGGTGGGTTCCATTTTGTCATAGAGTGCTGGCAGATTACGGGCCTCCCATTGCTGCTGCCAGGCCCGTAATCTGCCATGGGCCCCCGTACCGACTCCTCATGCTGCTGCCAGGCCCGTAATCTGTCATGGGCCCCTGTACCGCCTCCTCATGCTGCTGCCAGGTCCAGAGTGTGTCATGGGTCCCTGTACGGCCTCCCATTGCTGCTGCAGGCCAGGCCCGTAATCTGCCATGGGCCCCGTACCGACTCCTCATGCTGCTGCCAGGCCCGTAATCTGTCATGGGCCCCTGTACCGCCTCCTCATGCTGCTGCCAGGTCCAGAGTGTGTCATGGGTCCCTGTACGGCCTCCCATTGCTGCTGTCTCCATCGCCACACTCTGCCATGTGCCACTTTCAGGTCTCCTCACACTGCTGGTGGGTTCCATTTTGTCATAGAGTGCTGGCAGATTACGGGCCTCCCATTGCTGCTGCCAGGCCCGTAATCTGCCATGGGCCCCCGTACCGACTCCTCATGCTGCTGCCAGGCCCGTAATCTGTCATGGGCCCCTGTACCGCCTCCTCATGCTGCTGCCAGGTCCAGAGTGTGTCATGGGTCCCTGTACGGCCTCCCATTGCTGCTGCCAGGCCCGTAATCTGCCATGGGCCCCCGTACCGACTCCTCATGCTGCTGCCAGGCCCGTAATCTGTCATGGGCCCCTGTACCGCCTCCTCATGCTGCTGCCAGGTCCAGAGTGTGTCATGGGTCCCTGTACGGCCTCCCATTGCTGCTGTCTCCATCGCCACACTCTGCCATGTGCCACTTTCAGGTCTCCTCACACTGCTGGTGGGTTCCATTTTGTCATAGGGTGCTGGCAGATTACGGGCCTCCCATTGCTGCTGCCAGCCCGTAATCTGCCATGGGCCCCCGTACCGACTCCTCATGCTGCTGCCAGGCCCGTAATCTGTCATGGGCCCCTGTACCGCCTCCTCATGCTGCTGCCAGGTCCAGAGTGTGTCATGGGTCCCTGTACGGCCTCCCATTGCTGCTGCCAGGCCCGTAATCTGCCATGGGCCCCCGTACCGACTCCTCATGCTGCTGCCAGGCCCGTAATCTGTCATGGGCCCCTGTACCGCCTCCTCATGCTGCTGCCAGGTCCAGAGTGTGTCATGGGTCCCTGTACGGCCTCCCATTGCTGCTGTCTCCATCGCCGCACTCTGCCATGTGCCACTTTCAGGTCTCCTCACCCTGCTGGTGGGTTCCATTTTGTCATAGGGTGCTGTATGGCCTCCCATTGCTGCTGCCAGGCCCGTAATCTGCCATGGGCCCCCGTACCGACTCCTCATGCTGCTGCCAGGCCCGTAATCTGTCATGGGCCCCTGTACCGCCTCCTCATGCTGCTGCCAGGTCCAGAGTGTGTCATGGGTCCCTGTACGGCCTCCCATTGCTGCTGTCTCCATCGCCACACTCTGCCATGTGCCACTTTCAGGTCTCCTCACACTGCTGGTGGGTTCCATTTTGTCATAGAGTGCTGGCAGATTACGGGCCTCCCATTGCTGCTGCCAGGCCCGTAATCTGCCATGGGCCCCCGTACCGACTCCTCATGCTGCTGCCAGGCCCGTAATCTGTCATGGGCCCCTGTACCGCCTCCTCATGCTGCTGCCAGGTCCAGAGTGTGTCATGGGTCCCTGTACGGCCTCCCATTGCTGCTGCCAGGCCCGTAATCTGCCATGGGCCCCCGTACCGACTCCTCATGCTGCTGCCAGGCCCGTAATCTGTCATGGGCCCCTGTACCGCCTCCTCATGCTGCTGCCAGGTCCAGAGTGTGTCATGGGTCCCTGTACGGCCTCCCATTGCTGCTGTTCCATCGCCACACTCTGCCATGTGCCACTTTCAGGTCTCCTCACACTGCTGGTGGGTTTCATTTTGTCATAGGGTGCTGTATGGCCTCCCATTGCTGCTGCCTCCCCCACACTGTGGCTCCACACTCTGGTTTGGGCCCCGTGACTGCCCAAATGAGTGAAGTGTGCGGTGATTCTAAGATCGACGGCACTCTCATCTGCATGTCATACTGACTGACAGTATTATTTTTCTCTTCCCCAGCAGGGCCCTGTACGGCCTCTGCTTTTTCTCCAATGGGGGCATTTAAATTAAATTAAAGGTACAGTGTTCTGCACTAATATAAAGGCTCTCTGAAGCCTAGAAACACCCTTTTAATAAGTTAAATTCGCAGCGAATAAATTCGCATCGAATCGAAAATTTATTCCGCAAATTAGGCGAATCAGCCGAATCGAATTTTTGAATAATTCGCTCATCTCTAGTTACAATGAAAGACCTGGCACACTTAGTAGAAGACCAGACACACTCAATGAAAGATCAGGCAAGTGGCACACTCTTTGGCAGACCTGGCAGTTGGCACACTTAGTAAAAGACCTGGCATATTCAATGGAAGACCCAGCACACTCATTGGCAAACTTGGCACATTTGGGGAGAAGACTTGGCACACACAGTAGAAGACCAGGCACACTCAATGAAAGACTTGGGCACATTCAATGGAAGACCTGACAGTTGGCACACTCATTGAAGACCTGACACAGTAGAAGACCAGGCATTCTTAATAGAAGACTTGGCACACTCAGTAGAAAACCAAGCATACTCAGTGGAAGATCTGGCATACTCAATGGAAGACCTGCCACACTTAACGGAAGACCTGGCACACTCAATGGAAGACCTGGCACACTCATTAGAAGACCTGGCATACCCAATGGAAGACCAGGCACACTCAATGGAAGACCTGGCACACTTAACGGAAGACCTGGCACACTTAATGGAAAACCTGGCACACTCAATGGAAGACCTTGCATACTCAGTAGAAGACCTGGCATACTCAATGGAAGACCTGGCACTTTCAGGAGAAGACCTGGCACACTCAGTAGAAGACCTGGCATTCTCAATGGAAGACCTTGCACACTCAGTAGAAGACCTGGCACAATTAATGGAAGACCTGGCACACTCAGTAGAAGACCTGGCACACTTAATGGAAGACCAGGCACACTCAATGGAAGACCTGGCACATTCGGGAGAAGACCTGGCACACTCAATGGAAGACCTGGCACACTCAGTAGAAGACCTGGTGTACTTAATTGAAGACCTGGCACTTTCAGTAGAAAACCAGGCATACTTAATGGAAGACCTGGCACACTTAATGGAAGACCTGGCATACTCAATGGAAGACCTGGCACTTTCAGGAGAAGACCTGGCACACTCAATGAAAGACCTGGCACACTCAGTAGAAGACCTGACATACTCAATGGAAGACCTGGCACTTTCAGGAGGGAGAAGATCTGGCACACTCAGTAGAAGACCTGGCACACTTACTGGAAGACCTGGCATACTCAATGGAAAACCTAGCACTTTCAGGAGAAGACCTGACACACTTAATGGAAGACCTGGCACACTTAATGGAAGACCTGGCACACTCAATGGAAGACCTGGCATTTTCAGGAGAAGACCTGGCACACTCAATGGAAGACCTAGCACACTTAATGGAAGACCAGGCACACTTAATGGAAGACCTGGCACACTCAATGGAAGACCTGGCATTTTCAGGAGAAGACCTGGCACACTCAATGGAAGACCTAGCACACTTAATGGAAGACCAGGCACACTTAATGGAAGACCTGGCACACTCAATGGAAGACCTGGCATTTTCAGGAGAAGACCTGGCACACTCAATGGAAGACCTAGCATACTTAATGGAAGACCCGGCACACTTAATGGAAGACCAGACACACTCAATGGAAGACCTGGCACACTTAATGGAAGACCTGGCACACTCAGTAGAAGACCTGACACACTTAATGGAAGACCAGGCACACTCAGTAGAAGACCTAACACACTTAATGGAAGACCTGGCACACTTAATGGAAGACCTGTCATACTCAATGGAAGACCCGGCAAACTCAATGGAAGACCTGGCACACTTAATGAAAGACCCGGCAAACTCAATGGAAGACCTGGCACTTTCAGGAGAAGACCTGGCACACTTAATGGAAGACCTGGCACACTAAGGAGAAGACCTGGCACTCAGGAGAAGACCTGGCACACTCAATGGAAGACCTGGCACACTCAGGAGAAGACCTGGCACATTCAGGAGAAGACCTGGCACACTAATGGAAGACCAGGCACACTCAGGAGAAGACCTGGCACATTCAGGAGAAGACCTGGCACACTTAATGGAAGACCTGGCACACTCAATGGAAGACCTGGCACACTCAATGGAAGACCTGGCACACTCAGGAGAAGACCTGGCACACTCAGGAGAAGACCGATGAAACGTGTCCTTGAGGTCCATCCTTGTATAGATCTGTACCTGTAATTGTTTTCTAGACTTTGAGGATCTCCTAGAAACAAATCTCTCATTTGTGCGGCTTCAAGGATTGCAGGTCGATGGAGAGATTTGTCTCCTGAGAATAATCTCATGGGGGGGGGGGAGGGGGGTATATTAATGGCAAGGCTACAAATGGAAGGGCTGTCGCATCGATCACCGATTCTTTGGAGGCTCCCGTAAGACCAGCAGCATACTCAGGATTCATCTCAGCTGAGTACAGCCCGGCGCGCACCCCCAGCAATTCGCTTCCAACGGGAAGAACCGCCATTAATCCTCTCTATGGCAGTCAGTTGGACGGAGGAGATAAATCTCTTGGAGCTCAACCAAAGGTATAGAGTTCGATCGGTCGCGTGGAAGGAACCCCTCGTCGCCAGACGTCCTTTGCAAATCTTTAAAGTCCCGATAATATTACACGTAGGTCTCGTTTAGACTAGGGCGGTAAAAACGACAGGATGGACCATGTTTTTAACACCCCTCGCCCCAACATGGATCCCTTTTTAAAGGAGGAGTGGACTCCAGGCAGATTCTGGAGGGAGTCTTTTACCCATGATGCACTCATGACTCTGGGGACCTCTAGAGGCCGACCTAGGTAACTACATGGCCTCTCACTACAGGGTTCCCGACTCTCGCTATGGAAACATCTAGTGGTCAGATTGGGGAACTACACTGGGATCCACCATCCCTATACCCTGCTACAGCCTTTCTCTCTTTTACATGGAGGACCCTTTGAAAGAACTTTTTTGGCTTCAGGGAACCCCTTGTGATGGTCGGTGGGAAGAACCAACTATGGCGGTCATTGAGGAAAAATCTCTCCCTTCAAAAAAAAAAACGGAAAAAAAAAAAATATTTCATTTAAATTCTTTTTCTGGAATTTTTCCGTTTCCTTTCATTTACTCGTTTTTCAAATTCAATTTAGATTTTTCCGAATTCGGTTGAATTGAATTCAGTTTGACCAAATTCGGGGATATTTGAATGGACATTCGAATCTATTCTATTCGGAATTCGAAGTTCAGAAGACGGTTATATTCTTTCTATTGTATTCTTTTATTTTTTATCCTATTCTTTTGTATTTTACTCTAATCTATTCTATTCGAATTCAGACTTATTCATTTCAGAATTTGAATTTCAGAAGACATTTATATTCTTTCTTTTCTATTCTGTGCTATGCTTTTCTAGTCTTTTCTTTTCTATTCTAATCTATTTTATTCGAATTGTAAGTTATTCTATTCATAATTCAAATTTCAGAAGACGGTTATGTTCTTTCTATCTTATTCTATTCTGTTCCTTTCTATTATCTTCTCTTTTCTATTCTAATCTAATCCATTCAAATTCAAATTTATTCTATTCGGAATTCGAATTTCAGAAGACAGTTATATTCTATTCTATTCCATGCTATGCGTTTCTATTCTTTTCTTTTCTATTCCATTCTAATCTATTTTATTCGAATTGTAATTTGTTCTATTCAAAATTCAAATTTCAGAAGATGGTTATATTCTTTTTATCTTTTTCTATTCTGTTCCTTTCTATTCTTTTCTTTTCTATTATCTTCTCTTTTTTATTATTTTCTGTTCTAATCTATTCTATTTTATTTAAATTTATTCTATTTAAAATTAAAATTTCAGAAGATGGTTATATTCTTTTTATCTTTTTCTATTCTGTTCCTTTCTATTCTTTTTTTTTTTTCTATTATCTTCTTTTTTTTTTTTTTATTTTTTTTTCTGTTCTAATCTATTCTTTTTATTTAAATTTATTCTATTTAAAATTCAAATTTCAGAAGATGGTTATATTCTTTTTATCTTTTTCTATTCTGTTCCTTTCTATTTTTTTTCTTTTCTATTATCTTCTTTTTTTTTTTTTTCTTTTTTTTTTTTTCTAATCTTTTTCTATTTTATTTAAATTTATTCTATTTTTTTAAAATTTCAGAAGACAGTTTTTAATCTTTCTATTTTTATTTTTATTATATGCTTTACTATTCTATTCTTTTCTATTATATTTTAATCTATTCTATTTTTTTTTTATATTTATTTTATTCATAATTCAAATTTTTTTTTTTTTTATATTTTTTCTTCTTATTTATTCTATTCTTTCTATTCTTTTATGTTCTTTTTTCTTTATTTTCTTTTCTTTTCTTTTTCTCTTTTATTCTATTCTAATCTAATCAACTTTTCAAATTTATTCTGTTCAAAATTTGAATTTCGGAAGACGGTTATATTTTTTTTTTTTTTTTTTATTTTAGTGGTTTTTTTCAGTTTTCTTTTCTATTTTTATTCAAACAT